TATTATTATACATTTATATAGCTCTGACATATACCGCAGTGCTGTACAGAGAACACTAAGCCAGTCACATCAGTCTCTGTACCAGAGGAGCTAACACTCTAATGTCCCCTCCCCCACAGTCACATCAGTCTCTGTACAGAGGAGCTTACACTCTAATGTCCCCTCCCCCACAGTCACACACTATTATTATTATACATTTATATAGCTCTGACATATACCACAGCACTGTACAGAGATCACTGAGCCAGTCCCATCAGTCTCTGTACAGAGGAGCTTACACTCTAATGTCCCCTCCCCCACAGTCACACACTATTATTATATATAGCTCTGACATATACCAGATGCAGTTGCTGGTCCTGTATACTGTAGTATCACAGTGTGCTCTATGTATACGGCTCTCTGGGAGGGGCTCTATCAATAATCAAACTGATACTCAGAGTATATAGAAATGATTTCTCCTATTGGCTGGTTGTAGGCTGTTATGCCTCAGATGTAACTATGGGCAGAGCTGGACTGCGGGACTTTGCTTCGCGGCCGGCACCCTTGCCCGGGCCGCGGTCCCTCGGCTTACCGGGCCAGCTCCCCCGCTGGACTGCGGAACTTGGCTTTGCGGCTGGCTCTGAATTCTTCCCGGCCAGCTCCCCCACCAGACCACGGGACTTTGCTTCGCGGCTGGTAACCAAAGTCTTCCCGGCCAGCTTCCCATGCCTGCCCGAGGTAACATTGCTTGTGGCCGGCTCCCCTCGCTCGCCCCGACATCACCGGTGGCTTCTCACTACAATATCTCCTGCACGGCGCACGTATAGGAAATATTAATTTTATCTATAGGTAAGCTTTACTATAAGTGAACTGTAGGTAAAATAACAACACTTTACATAAATAGGGATTTAGCCCGGATTCACATATATGCGGTGCGGTATATCACATGTGATTAGCATGGAAACTGCACCGCATTCCTGTGCAAATCACATGCGATTTGTGTGCGGTGTGATCGGGGCCGTACATTTTGTAGGGCTCTAATCGCACTGCACCCGCACCAAAAAGGTGCAGGACCCTTTTTTGGGTCCGCACTAGAATCGGATCGCATGGGTATTTACACCTAATAGGATCCGATTCTGCACATCGCACCGCGTTTTGCGGACCGCTTTAACATACACACCCGCAGCGGTTCGCATGAACGAGGTGCAGTTCTGATGCGCTGCACAATTCGCACAGAAAACGCTGAGAATTCCGCACCGCATCAGTGTGAACCCGGGCTTAGGAGCGGTGACAGTACTTTGCTGCATTGGTCAAGTCTGGACATGACTGAAGGAACATTTGTCACAACTGCAACAAGGAAAAGTCCAGTGAAAAGAAAACCGGATTGTAGCAATCTGTCACCCTTAAGGGGATTTCTGCTTTACTGATTATTTCAAGGCATTTCCTGCTTTAACCCATCACTGGAATAAAGGTCATTTGTTCAGGTTCAGAAAGACGACAGCTGGAGAGGGAGGGATAGCGATGGCATTTATGTAGGACATTTGGGTGAAAAGCGTAAGTCGGGCCGTACATGGGTCAAATCCCGAACAAATTTTCTTTAGAAAATCGAAACAATTGAGTACTGTCCGTGATACGTTTTTTATTTGCACTAACATACAATTTAGAGGACAAGCTTTCGGGGAGTGTCCCCTTCTTCAAGGTCCAAGCAGTACTATTACATGTTGCATGTTACATGTTATTATTATGTTGTGATTTGTATAGTACTGCTTGGACCTTGAAGAAGGGGACACTCCCCGAAAGCTTGTCCTCAAAATTGTATGTTAGTGCAAATAAAAAACGTATCACGGACAGTACTCAATTGTTTCTGTCGCAAATGCACTAATACGGCTACAATCACCTTTAGAAAATCGGAAATTTTCATACATTTTGTAATCTGATGGTGCCACCGTTGATTTCGAAATTCAACCAAAGCATGGGTCAAATTCCGAAATAATTTTCTTTCAAAAATCTTTTCTAAAAGTTTTCGTTCGAATTTTGCACCATTAGTGGGCCAGAGAAATGGCCAGTTTTCGTGCAGCCATCGAATCTGAGTGATCGGGCATGTTGGAATTTTTTTGCAAAACGAACGAATTTCTAATCAATGATTGGAGAGTCGCAATCGGAAAAAAAATGAGCTTGAGCTGTGACATGGAAAGAAAAGAAAATTCTTGCCCGAGAAAATTCTTTTCTGTAGTAACGAGGTGAAATTGAAAGCTTGGTTGGTCGAATTTCGAAATCAATGGTGGCATTGTTGGATTACAAAAACGCACGAAAGTTCAGATTTTCTAAAGAATATTCATTCAGAATTTGATCCGTCTATGGCCTGCACAACCGAGCCTTCAATTTCGCCTCATGTTGCTACAGAAAAGAATTTTCATGGCCAAGAATTTTCTTTTCTTTCCAGGTCAAAGCTCACGCTCATTTCTTTTTCGTTTATATTTCCCGCACAATTCTTCCATCATTGATTCGAAATTCGTTCATTTTTCGAAAAATTTCCAACATGTTTGATCGCTCAAATTCGATGGTCACATGAAAATTGGCCAATTCTGTGACCCACTAATGGTGCGATATTCAAACATTCTTAGAAAAGATTTTCAAACGAAAATTCTTTCAGAATTCGACCCCTGTATGGTCTTGATTCCTCCATATAGATCATTATATCACAAGAGGGATCACAGGCAGGAGGAACAAGGTCTCGATTCCTCAATATAGATCTTTATATCACTAGAGGGGTCACTAGCTCTGGAATCCAGTGGCGGCGTGCTTTACGCCACGGCATCCGACGCTTTGCATTGCACTTGGTGATGGAAGGCTTGGATGCAGCTGCTCGGCCATGGAAACCCATTCCATGAAGCTCTCTACGCACTGTTGTTGGGCTCATCTGAAGGCCACACCAAGTTTGGAGGTCTTTAGCTATTGACTCTGCAGACAGTTGGTGACTTCTGCGCACTGTGCACTTCAGCATGCGCTGACCCCGCTCTGTCATGTGACGTGGCCTACCACTTGGTGGCTGAGTGGCTGTTGCTCCCAGTTTCTTCCACTTTGTTATAATCCCACTAACAGTTGAGCGTGGAATATTTAGTAGCCAGGAAATGTCACGGATGGACTTATTGCCCAGGTGGCCACCTATCACGGGACCACGCTTAGAGTCACTGAGCTCCCGAGAGCGACCCATTCTTTCACCAATGTTTGTAGAAGCAGTCTGCATGCCTAGCGGCTTGATTGCATACACCTGTGGCCATGGAGGGGATTGGAACACCCGAATCACATGATTTGGAGGGCGGGGCTAATACTTTGGGCAATGCAGTGTAAATGTTTGGGGGGGTTCAACTACAGTGGTGAGACAAAAAAATGGAAACACTCCAGGATTTGCAGGTGTGAAAGTGCCTTTTGGTGGTGAAAGTGCAAGTGATGTAACATTCTTTGGCTTCGGCTGGGTGATGAGACACCTAGCTAACACCTCACTTTCCTCATTCACTGCGTGCGATGCTAGTAATATGGAGTCATGTCAGAGCTTACTGAGCTGCAAAGAGGGAAAATTGTTGGTGCCGCTTAGCTGCCATCTCTCTGACTTTTTTTTCCAATTTATTTGCCGTGTGACAAGGTACAGGATCAAATATTATGGCGGCATATACAGTTTCCAGGAAATCTGTGTCTGATAAGCGTAAGCGCGGTTGACACGGTCACCTGACTGAAAGAGACAAAAGGACGCTGCGCAGGATTCTGACCCGGAATGAGAAAACAACTGCTGCAAAAGTGACTGCAGACCTCAATCTCAGTCTTCTAAAGCCTAAAACTGTGCGGAGGGAACTCCATAAGCAGAACATTAACGGGCGAGCTGTGATTGCCAAACCACTAGTGACTGACATTAATGCTCAGATGAAGAGAGAGTGGAGCAACACCCATAAATCATGGACGGAAGAGTAATATGGTTTGATGAAAAGGATAATGCGCAGGATTGTGACCTGAAATAAGAAAACAACTGCTGCAAAAGCAGAGCTCAGTCCTGTTGCAGAGCTCAGTCTCAGTCCTGTTGCAGAGCTCAATCTCAGTCCTGTTGCAGAACTCAATCTGAGTCCTGTTGCAGAGCTCAATCTCAGTCCTGTTGCAGAACCCAGTCTCACTCATGTTGCAGAGCTCAATCACAGTCTTGTTGCAGAGCTCAATCTCAGTCCTGTTGCAGAACCCAAACTCAGTCCTGTTGCAGAGCTCAATACCAGTCTTGTTGCACAGCTCAATCTCAGTCTTGTTGCAGAGCTCAATTTCAGTATTGTTGCAGGACTTAATCTCAGTCCTGTTGCAGAGCTCAATCCCAGTCTTGTTGCACAGCTCAATCTCAGTCCTGTTGCAGAGCTCAATCTCAGTCCTGTTTCAGAACTCAGTCCCAGTCCCGAGAAGACTGAGATTGAGCTCTGCAGTCACTTTTGCAGCAGTTGTTTCCTTCTTCCGGGTCACAATCCTGCATCGTGTTCTTTTGTCTCTTTCGGTCAGGTGACCATGTTGATCGCGCTTACACTTATCAGACGTCTCTTTCCCGGAAAACGTCTGATAAAGAATGTTCCATCACTTCCGCTTTCAATGCAAAAAACATCATCACTTTCACACCTGCAAATCATTGTTTCTCTTTCTATTGTCCAACCCCGCTCATCTTCAGGCCTAATTTTTTTTTTTTGTTGTAATCTGTGTAAAAAATATATAAAAACAGTAAAACGGTTGAATGAGAAGCACTCCAGGCACACAGACACAGCATGAGTTATTCGGAGGGTTGTCCTGTGATCGGGGGGTCGCTGACACCGGATGTAGTAGAATACAATGTAACACTGGGAGGAGGGACAATCGCATACAATGTATCGCTGGAACGCATGGTCATGTGACCTCCCGTGCTCCCCACGTGGCGCTGCAGGCGGGGCCGGGATTGGGTGAGGGGCCGGGTGACGTCAGCGGGTGTTTGCGGAAGTGGAGAGGCAGTGGAGGTGATGGCGGGGGGAGCAGTACTGGCAGAGAGGCTCCGGGCCGGCCCGGGATGTGGACCCCATGGACAGGTTTATGTGTCCCATTTGTCTGGAGCTCTTCGAGGATCCTGTGAGGGTGGCGTGTGGTCACATGTGAGTGCTGTGCTGAGGTCACATGACCTGGAGAACTACAAGTCCCAGGAGGGCCTGCTCAGAGAGGGAGGGGGGCTTGTCTGTCATCAATTCTGAGCCCTTACGTCTGTATTAGGAGACCCTCTGTATTGGGACCCTCAGTACCCATGTATTATGGAACCCTCCGTACCCCTGTATTAGGGAACCCTCCGTACCCCTGTATTAGGGATGGACCCTCCATACCCCTGTATTATGGAACCCTCCGTACCCCTGTATTAGGGATGGAACCCTCCATACCCCTGTATTAGGGAACCCTCCGTACCCCTGTATTAGGGAACCCTCCGTACCCCTGTATTAGGGAACCCTCTGTACCCCTGTATTAGGGATGGACCCTCCATACCCCTGTATTATGGAACCCTCCGTACCCCTGTATTAGGGATGGACCCTCCATACCCCTGTATTATGGAACCCTCCGTACCCCTGTATTAGGGATGGACCCTCCATACCCCTGTATTATGGAACCCTCCGTACCCCTGTATTATGGAACCCTCCGTACCCCTGTATTAGGGATGGACCCTCCATACCTACTCCTTATTCTTCCTGTAAGGGTGTCATGCAGTCACCTGTAAGTGCTGTGCTAATCTCACATGGCCAGTGGAACTACAAATCCCAGTATAGCCTGCTCTGAGCCCCGCACACACACAGGTACAGGAGTGGCTATTGGGACTTGTTGAAATTTGTCATTATTTCTATGAATTTTTTTCTTCCTGTAAGGTTGAGGAAAGAGAAACTGAAAGTTGCTGAGATGTGAGTGACTTTCACTTTTCACCTTTGCAGAGAACCCATTCTAGTTCTGTATAGGGGACCTTTGTGCCTCTGTATGGTGCCCTATATCCCTCTTCACAGGGGGCACCTTATACCCAGGGGCATGCCTAGGGTGGCATTTTTCAGGGGGGCAGCACCCCCCCCCCCCCCCAGAAGAAGGGATGAAAAGGAAAGGACAAATGCTTCATGATTACAAAGTGGGATCCAAGAGAGCCTGCGGGCTGCTTAATGGTGTATGCAGAGCCTGACACTCATTCCCGGAGATGAAGATGAGTGTCTTTCTCTCGATATCTGGGGACGGGGGGGTAGTGGAAGGCTCTCCCAGATGGGGGGCAGGGGTGTTGTTGGTCATTGTCATGCTTTCTCCACAAGAGGGGGGGGGGGGGGGTTGTGTTGGTCGGTGTCCTTGGGGGCAGATGATTTTTGTGTTGCCTAGGGCAGGACAAAACCTAAATACACCAATGCTTATACCTCTATGTGGGGGACCCCTTATCCCTCCTATAAGGATGTCATGTGGTCACCCGTGAGTGCTATGCTGATGTCACATGGCAAGGTGAACTACAAGCCCCGGTATAGCCTGCTCTGAGCCCCGCATACACACAACACATGTAAAGGAGGGGCTATGGGGACTTGTCTCAGTCTGTCATTACTTTTATGAATCCATGTTTTCTCTGTAAGGATGAGGAAAGAAAAAACAAAAACTGCTGAGATATGTGAGTGACGTTTACTTCTTCCATTATACATGTGTAGGGGACCCTTATACCTCTTTATGGTGCCCTATATCCCTCTTGTAAAGGTTTTGTGTGGTCACCTGTGAGTGCAACAAGTCTCAGTATAGCCTCCTCTGGCTGAAGGGACTGTGGGGATTGGTTTTAATTTGTCATTATTTATATAAATTATTGGTATTTTTCTGTAAGGGTGAGGAAACTGAAAATTGCTGAGATATATGAGAGATTTTCACTTCTTCCTTTACGGGATCTCTTATCCCTCCTGTGAAAATATCATGCAGTCTCACATGGCCAGGGGAACTACAAGTCCCAGTATAGCCTGCTTTGAGCTCTCGCGCACACACACAGCACATGTACAGGAGGGTCTATGAGGACTTTTTTAAATTTGGCATTACTTATATGAATTTATTTTTTTTTTTTTTTTTTTTCCCTGTAAGGGTGTGGAAAGAGAAACTGAAAGTTGCTGAGATATGTGAGTGACTTTCACTTCGTCCTTGATGCCCCATATATGGGACCCTTCATGCCCCTATGGAGCTCCTTGAAAGCTATAATTGGAATGTTGAAGTTCAATTTGTATAAGCATCTATGAATTCCAGACAGAAGAGCAGATACATTATATTGACCAGGAGCTCAGTGACTCCAAGCGTGGTCCCGTGATAGGTGGCCACCTGGGCAATAAGTCCATCCGTGACATTTCCTGGCTACTAAATATTCCACGCTCAACTGTTAGTGGGAACCAACTGGGAACAACAGCATCTCAGCCACCAAGTGGTAGGCCACATCACAAGACAGGGCGGGGTCAGCGCATGCTGAAGCGCACAGTAGCTGCCAACTGTCTGCAGAGTCAATAGCTAAAGACCTCCAAACTTGGTGTGGCCTTCAGATGAGCCCAACAACAGTGCGTAGAGAGCTTCATGGAATGGGTTTCCATGGCCGAGCAGCTGCATCCAAGCCTTCCATCACCAAGTGCAATGCAAAGCGTCGGATGCTGTGGTGTAAAGTATGCCGCCACTGGACTCTAGAGCAGTAAAGAGACGTGTGTTCTGGAGTGACCAATCACTTTTCTCTGGCTATAGATGGACGTGTCTGGGTTTGGCAGTTGCCAGGAGAACGGTACTTGCCTGACTGCATTGTGCCAAGTGTAAAGTTTGGTGGAGGGGGGATTATGGTGTGGGGTAGTTTTTCAGGGTTGGGCTTGGCCCCCTAGTTCCAGTGAAGGGAACTCTTATGGCTACATTTTGGACAATTTCATGCTCCCAACTTTCTGGGAAGAGTTTGGGGAATGGCCCCTTCCTGTTCCAACATGACTACGCACCAGTGCACAAAGCAAGGTCCATAAAGACATGGAGGAGCCAGTTTGGGGTGGAGGAACTTGACTGTCCTGCACAGAGTCCTGACCTCAACCCCATAGAACACCTTTAGGATGAATTAGAGCGGAGACTGTGAGCCAGGCCTCCTCCCCCGACATCAGTGCCTGACCTGACAAATGTGCTTCTGGAAGAATGGTCCAACCTTCCCATAGACACCCTCCTAAACCTTGTGGACGGCCTTCCCAGAAGAGTTGAAGCTGTTATAGCTGCAAAGGGCGGGGCCAACTCAATATTGAACCCTACGGACTAAGACTGGGGGCCATTAAAGTTCATGTGGAAAGGCAGACGGCCCAATACTTTGGGCAATATAGTGTAACTTCTTATGGGGACACCTGATCCATTGACAGCTGTCCCCCTCCCACAGCTTCTGCTTTCTGTCATTGGCTTGGGCAGTAAGTGATGGGAAATACCCCTAGTCGGTGACACAGACAGCAATATGAGTGGGTTCATTCACACATCACAAGTTGGTCCTTGCCACCCTTCTAAAAAGCACCCTGCAGTGGACTGTGTTTCAGTGGGTGGGTGACAGGTGGCTTGGAGGTGACATATCACAGAGCGCAGTCGCATGCATTGCACTGCAGTCCCATTTACTTAAATGGGTTGCATTCAACAGTGGTACTGCCTACTAAATGATACAAGGGATATTGGCATGTGTACATCCCCATCCAACCATCTTTGCAGCTAATAGGCTTCTAAATGCGACTCAACTGCCTATTTTTATGGCCCCCTGGCCGCTTATGTGAATGAGCCTTTCCTGCAGCTGATCAGCCAATCAGAATATTTTGTTTTGTAGACTAATAAATCCTTCTGTAGTATGAATATTGTGTTCCCAGCTGGCCAATGGAATACTTAATAAGGGAACTATCCCTAAAGAGGAAGACAGACATATGAAATTAAAAAGTCAGTGGCTACAAATATTTAAGCTGTTGACTTTAATGAAATGTAAATCTGCCAGCCTGTGGAGTCCACTGCTGTCTTCCCTGCAGCTGATTGTTCTCAGGAGGGGAAATCTCTGGTGTCACCATTATGGATTTGATTGCCAAATAGGACTTCCTGATGACTCCCCGCCTCGCTTGCAAAGGGTGCAAGAAGACAGGTCCAGTAGCCTCTTTGGATGTGTGATGTTATCCCAGGAGGCTGTGGACTGGGAGGAGTGTTGCGGGCCAATAGAGGAAGTGGGGTGTGGGGGGACTGCCAAAAAATAAAATAAAAAAGACCTGCTTTGCCATAAAAAGAAATCCTTAATTTAGCTAAAGGCTGGGGAAGTCCATGGACAGGGCCTTTCTTGACAGCAGTAGTGATGGGTCCTTCCTCCTAGACTGAGCGGTCCTTACATAAAAATGTATGAGAGCTGATCAGGCCAGGAGTACTATAATGCCCAAGCTGTGTGGTCCCAGGATGTCTGGGGACAGTGCTGGAGAGGAGGTGAGTATCGCAGGAAGAGCTGCTGGACAATTCAGTTTAATTTTTTTAATGCTTAAGTTTCACTTTAAGGATTCCTTAACATCCCTCACAATGCAATACTGTATGAATACAACATTATTCGATCTGTTTGGAACGTTGAAGGTTTTTTGTTTCGTTTTTTTCACCGCTGCAGATTCTGTATGATGTGCTTCGAGCAGTGCATGACGCAGAGGAGTCCCACATGTGCAGTGTGCCGCAGCAGACTCTCTCCTGGCCTGAAGGCGTCTGATTTGGAGAAGCAGATGAGGGAAACGAACACCTCTTGTAAAGGATGTCATTCAAAGGTAATTGGGTGAGGATTCTCATACTGCTTTCACCATGTGTGGTGTTTTCTTGAAGTGCACCTGACCTTGGAGATGAGGTTGGATCAGTAAATGACTGGATGTTACCTTTCCTTTCCCTGGGCACTAGAGGCCTCACTGTGACAGAAATGATGTTGCTATTTCTTGGTTTGCCAAAATATTGATTAAGCTAAGAAATGGTGTAAGGTACAGCCATCACAAATTCAGGATTCTTTCCAATAAGAGATGATTCATTGTGCCTTTTGGCAATGCTAACAAAGTGCCTAAAATGTCATTATTCCCATGTGATTCCAAAAAAAAATGTGACATCCTAGTTGAAGGTAACCTGGTAGAATAGCAGAGGTTGTTGCTGACCATCTCCCAGGAGCAGTGCTAGTTTTTGGATGGAAAGATATTCCTGCACTGGAATGACATGAAGGAGCCCTTGTGACGGGATCCCTTTACAAGACAACTTCACCTTTAGTGATGTTAACTAAATATTCCTCTCACTTCCCTAAGTGGCAACAACATGTCTAAATATATACCTTTAGTAAAGCCAACATTATTTTTTATTTTTTTTTTTTTAATAATGTGTCTATACTTACCTGCTCTGTGTAATAGTATTGCATAGACCAGACCCAGTTCTCCTCTTCTGGGGTCCATATGTCTCTTCCCCCCATTTTAGGGCCCTTATAGCAAGTTGCTTGCTATAGGGGCACTCATGCAGGCTTGCTTTCTGAGCCACGCTCTGTGTGTCCATTGACACAGAGCTTAGCTTGGTGGGCTCCTTCCACTCCCTCCTTACAGGCTGTGATTGATAGCAGCAGGAGTCAGTGACTCCCTCTGCTGCATATGTGCCAGTGAGGAGGGAGACAATGGAGAGAGCAGCTGCTCAAAGACACAGCACTGGTTTGAGATCAGGCTCAGGTAAGTATAGGGAGAGCTGGGGGAGGAGCTGCACACAGAAGATTTTTTACCTTAATAGAATGCATTCAGGTAAATAAATAACTTCAGCTTTTAGAACCACTTTCAGCTCTGCTTCCAACTTTGTCATTGTGTAACCCTGCTCGGCCTTTGCAGAAAAAAGTCCCAGCTACCCCCATCTCCTACTGTGCTTTGCACACTGCTTAGTCCATTGATTTCCATGGCTGGACCTTTACTCCTCTGGATGGCTGGGAGCTGCATAAGTACAGACTGGCCATAGGAATAAATGCTGTCACTTTGTCTATGGGGGAGCATCTTTGTCACCATAGTACAGGACTACAAAATGCCCCCACTCTTGTAATTTTCATAACATAGCTGAGAATGACAGAACGATAGTGCTGCACAGAAAGTAATCGGCTCACTGGATTTGGGGCAGGATCAAGAGTGTTTTTTTTTCCCTATTGAAGAGATATAATATAACCCTTCCAATAGCATATTTAACCGCTTCCCAACTGACCTATAGTAGAATTACTGCTACAGGGTGGCAGGGCTGCGCAAACACACACACGATTTTTGCATTTCCGGGTAGGGGTGTGTGCACTGCCCTACCTGCTCCGCCATTGGTGGCTACAGCTGTCGATCGCCAAGTCCTGGCCAGAGATTCCCCTGCGATCACCGAGGAACACTGACAAGGAAGAGGTCTGTATGTACACAATACAGATCTCTCCCCTGTCAGCATTAGCGCGCTGCTTTGTATTGCTCTGCAATATAAAATAGTAAAACACACACAGCGCACAGGTAACCCTTTGATCGCCCCAGATGTTAACCCCTTCCTGCCCAGTGCCATTAGTTCAGGATCAGTGCTTTTTATTAGCACTGATCACTGTATTAGTGTCAATGGCAGTTAGTCAGTTCCCCCCAGTGTCAGAATGCCTGCCGTAGTCCCGCAGTCCTGCTTTAAGTTGCTGATCGCCGCCATTACTAGTAGAAAACAAAAAAAATCCCAGTATCTATACCGCCATTTGTAAACGCTAAGACTTTCATGTAAAGCAATTAATTTACACATATTGAGATTTTTTTTTTTTAGCAAAGACGTAGCAGAATACATTTTGGCCTAAATTTATAACTAAATTTATTTTTTTTTTCCTACTGGACATGTTTTATAGCAGAAATTCAAAAATGTTGTTTGTTTTTTCAAAATTGTCGGTCTTTTTTGTTTATTGCAAAAAATAAAAACCACACAGGCGATCAAATACCACCAAAAGAAAGCTCTGTTTGGGTGCAGCACTGCATGATCGCGCAATTGTCATTTAAAACAACACGACGCCATATCGCAAAAAATGGCCTGGTCAGGAGGGGCGGTAAAACCTCTGGAGGGCGAGTGGTTAACAGACCAATACAGAACAAGTAGGAGGTCATTGTTGGGGTTTACATACACTTCAAAGGGTATTTTAACTCCAGCTAGATACCTTTCTGATGTGGGCTGCTATTGTGTGACTCAGGAGCTGCAGCTATTTCCATGGTTGTAAGGCAGTGGTGAATGAAAGAACAGGCTTGAGGCTAGCTTGCAGTTTGGTATCTTCCAGCAGCAGGCAGCTATTTTGATTAAAGGAGCCCTGTACTCGGAGAAATATGTTTGATGTTGCTTGGTTGTCCTGTTGACACCTCTGACTTTAGTGTTGTTTGAGATGCTACAATTGAAGCAGAACGAAGACAAATGTTAAAGCTACCTTCACCGATATTACTGGTCAACGCTCGCTGCCGTGCTAATTCTCTATCTTCTTTTCATTAACCTGGAAGAATCAGATGACCGACATTCCATCTCTGTACAACTGGCTGGCGGGTGAACAGAAATCAGACATAAATTCCCCTCCAAGCTCAGCCAGAAATCTCTGGGTTTCTTTGTATAGAGCGGGATTTCCCTTCTCTGAAAAAGCACAGGGATTTCCATCCAGTGACAAAGGCCTTTACTTACATAAGTGATCTACTCTACAGATGCCCCTCTGCAACATGCGGGCCCATGCCTTAGACTGCTCCCAGTACCAGACCTACGTGATGGAGGGTATCAAGTCCGTGACTAAGGACAAGTCTCCACACGCCAAGTAAGTTATGCACTGCTCTGTGGCATCTATTTAATGCTATTAAAAAGTCTGACAGTGGGAAAAAAGAGTTTTTCATTCACACAAAGCAGTCTGATTCTTCCTTTAAAGCAGAACCCTAGGTAAACAAATTTGTATTTGTACTCCATCATCATATTTGCAATTCTGTTCAGCCTGTCTTGTGAATTACACCCCCTTCCTTGCCACACTGCTTCTTTGGATTATAGCGTGGCTACAGGGTTCTGTAATGCAGTGTTTATATTTATTTGTTTATTGTATTGGTTAAACTGGATGGATTTGTGTGTTTGTTTTGTTTTTTGGGGGGGTTTTTTTTAAGATTTTTTTTTTTTTTTACCATAGTAACATTTTACTACTCTGAGGAAGTGATCAGATATATATATATATATATATATATATATATATATATATATATATCTATATCATTTTTTTTTTTTTTTACACATTATGATTGCCTATAGCAATGAAATTGACTGACTGCTATAGGCAAGCATCTAACTGAATGAATGCATTCATTGTTTTTTTTTTGTGACTGGCCACAGCTAATCACATGACACAATTGGGCTGTGATTGGCCTAGTCTGTACCATGTGATCATTGTGACCAAACACAGCTAGCTACACAATTGTATTCAAAGGATGGCAGGAAAGGAAGCCATCCATTATGTGGCCTGTGATTGGTCACAGCAGTGAAATGGTACCAGCAACGGGAATGGTACACAGAACGGTCATTTGGCTGTGTCTGATGGACACATCCAGTGATATATCGGCACGGCGGCAATCCAGAAGGACGTCATATGAATCCCACTCGGATCAACTAAACTCCTGCTTGGCCATCATTTTCCTATTGGCTGGGCAAGAACTGGTTAAAGTGTAAAGGCAAAAACCTTTCTTTTTCGTTTCGGATAGCGTAATGGAGGGTTATAACCCTTGTCAGGTTTTTTTTGTTTTTTTTTTTTGTCATCTGTGTCCCGTTTGAGAGATTTCACTTCCTGTTCCATAGCCAAAACAGGAAATCCCACCAAAGTGAGAGAATCCCTGGTTGGGACTAGGACTAGTGTCCCCATTGGAAGATTTCTCCTCTGTTCCTGTTTAAGAGACAACCCAAAATTTGGGGATTTACTTTCAATGATAACAGTACACAGTACAAAGAGAGAGGGCGAATCTCCCGAATGAGGGCACTGACAACAACAAAAGCCTGACAAGGGTTTTAATCCTTTGCCACTCTATCGAAAACTAGAAAAAAGTTTTGCCTTTAGGCATCTCAACCATTACATATACCCAGTAAAGTGACTGGCCTCAGGTGATACACAGAGATGATACAAATCCTCCTACATAAGTTGTACCTGTTTATCAGCAGTCTTCTCTTCTCTACATCCATTCAAAGTGTTGAATTCATAAAGTTGGTCAGAGAGTTCAGAAAAAAGGGGGCGGAGAGCTGAAGGTACATCAGTTAGGAGAGCTCTGAGAGCTGATGGGAGGGAAAAGACACACCCCCTTCACACAGGAACAGATCTAAGGCTGTCAGTCTGGAGCTCCTCCCCCTGTCACCATTTTTCTCCTAGTATCAGCAAAACTTGTCAGAAGTGGTTCATGCTGATAGCAGAGAAAAGAGCCAGTGGAGAGAAATGGCATTTACTGCTCTGGACTGAGACAAGCACACACTATAGAGGGATATGCTTTGTTCATATTTCATGCCTGAGGTTTACAACCACTTTAAATAAAAATATAAAGAATGTGGTGTGTTCCGGAGTATTTGAAAACCAGCGCAGATATATTTTTTTAACGTCTTATTAGCTGTGTAATACAAATTTTCAGTAATAATCTTGAAATAATATTACTAATATCAGAAAGGAAATGGGGTAATTGCCCGGGAAAACTGCCCCTGTGTTGGTGATCACTGTAAGTGGGAGATGAATTCAACTACTGCTGACTGTTAATGGAACCCCTACCAACCCGAGGAGGAACGCTGGTTGAGAAAGGCTGTCCTAGAGGATCAAAGCCGTTTTTTCCTGTTTAGGCTTCCTGTGGTAGCTTCTTGCTCACTACTACTGCCTGATGGAAGACCTTTGTATGGGTCACATGTGTGCCTGCTGATTCATGAGCCATAGGCTGCACTGGAGTACTCCCACGCCTTCCTAGTAACCGACACTTCTGGTGATTGGGTTTCTCTAGCGCCTTTCTTTTAAGTGCCCCCCCAAAATCATAAAAGACAAAAAGGCAGCATTCTCTGCAGTATTCACTCCCTCTCAGGCACTGTCCACCGCAGTACATCTTCACCACAGGATGTCCTTAGACTTGCAGGTTAAATGATGCTTGGCGTCATTCAACCTCTGATACTAAGGAGATTCTGTGGGTGCAGGGCATTAGTGACCCACCCCTTGACGAGGTTGCCTGTCACCACGTTGTCTGCACTCACAATGTACGGATACAGAGAACAGCAATGATGTCATAGTAATCATTGCTCCTCTCTGCATCATTGAGAATTTTTGCTGCCAGGGATGATCTCCACTGGACTCCGCAAGTCATGTGACCAGTCTGAATATTTCTGCATAAAGTCTGACAATAAAAATTAGGCCAAAAGCTACATGCTGGGCGTGGGCGGTGACTCTGGAATCGGACACAGGATGGAGAGCTGCGTAAAAGAGAAGCCTGGAGTTAGAATTTAAAGTGACACTTGTCAAGACACCTTCCTTTTTTTTTTTATTCCCCCCTTATTTTGGAAAGTGTGGTGATGTCTTAGAATGCCTGTCAAGTTCTCTTTTCCATCTGTCTCCATTAGGAAGATTCACTCTCTCTGGTTATCACCGGAAATGAAAGTAAGGGGAAAGCTAATATTTTGAGTTGTAAGCAGAACTGAAATAGAGGGGAATTCATCCAATGGGGGCACTTGTTCTAGTGACAACTTTTCTAGAAGGGGATGTCCCTTGATTTGGAGAGATTTCCTCTCCCATTTCCTGATGTGCTACAGGACAGGAAATCCTCCCCAACGGGACACAGAGGGCAAAACAACCCAAAAAAATAAATCCGAGAGGTGTTTTAACCATTTCTTATTCGATCCAAAATGGGAAAAACATTTTGGCTGTTTTATTATTATTATACAAGATTTATATAGCGCCAACCGTTTGCGCAGTGCTTTACAATGTAAAGGGGGGGCAGTAGAATTACAATACATTTCAGTACAGATGGAATTTGAGCGCCCGACTTGTGGAGCTTACAATCTAAAGGAAGGGGGAGGTGATAACTGCGGGGGACGATCTGGTGGAGGTGATTCAAGTACAGTTCCCAAGGTGGAGGTGGGGTAGGCTTCCCTGAATAAGTGAGTTTTCAAAGATCGCCTAAAGGCATACAGGGTGGGGGCTGACCGGACATGCTGTGGTAGGGAATTCGAGGATGGGAGAGGCTCTGGAGAAGTACTGGAGGCGAGCGTGGGAGGAGGATCTGATGAGGGAGCTAAAGAGGAAGATGTCTTGGGAAGAGCAGAGCTGGTGATTTGGGCAATATCTGTGGATGAGTTCGGCGATGTTGCTGGGCGCAGTGTTGTGGATGGCTTTGTATGCGGTGGTTAGTATTTTGAATTTTATACATTGAGTTAGTGGAAGCCAATGAAGGGATTGGCAGAGAGGGGCAGCAGTCACTGATCGGTTGGTAAGGTGTATGAGTCTAGTAGCAGCATTCATAATAGACTGAAGGGGGGATAGACTGTGTAACGGTAGACCTATGAGGAGGGAGTTGCAGTAATCAAGGCGGGATATAACCAAGGCGTGGATAAGTTGTTTTGTGGTGTCATTGGTCAGAAAGGGCCAGACTTTGGACATTTTTCTGGAGGTTGAGGCTTTAGATATACTTTTACAAATTAATAAATAAAAACTCTGCAAAAGAAGGGAATGCTTGGTTCCACTCTTGCCATGTGCCGTGGTTCTTTTATTTATTTATTTGCAAGTTTGTTTGTTTTTTTTTTTTATATTTTTTTATAAATTCCACAGTAGTGTCTTTTTAAAAAGTTTCATGGCACAAGCTCAGTACTTAAAATTGTTATTTAGTACAAAGAAGATTCTAATTAAGTTCAATAAGCAACACATCACTTTGTCCATTTTGCCACAATGGACCTTGGTCCATGTTTAAAGCGACTATCTAAGATATGACTGTGGGGTGAGCACTTTGACATCAGCAATGATAATCTGTGCAAGCTAAATTCACATGGACTTTACATTCTAATTTTTTGTTCTACTTCACCGTGATCAGTGTGTAAATGTTTTACCTAAAACCTTGCTTTTTTTTTATTTTTTTAATTCTTCTCCCAGAGATATCCCAAACCGATTCACCTTCATCTGCCCTTATTGCCAGGAACAGAACCTGGACCAGGAAGGACTAGTGGATCATTGTAGGAAGTATCATCATAGTGACCCCACAGCTGTGGTAAGGCCTTGTGTTGTGTTAGTGTCGAGCATTTCAGTTCTAGCCTGCCATCCTATGAACACTTGCTTTGTTATCTTTATCAGGTTTGCCCTATATGTGCCTCCATGCCCTGGGGGGACCCTGGCTACAGAAGTGCCAACTTCATGGAGCATATCCACCGCCGCCACAGATTCTCATATGATACTTTTGTTGTAAGTATGTTTACTTGTGTACAAGGTGTAACAATTTTAATTCCCAGATTTGGAATGTAAAAAGAAAAAAAAAATATCAAATGCACCATCTTTGCAGAATTTTTTCTCAATCTGGCGCAATGTTTCCATGTTCATGTTCAATTCTGCTGTCATCATTCGCATACTTGGTCTTCGATTTGAGTGTACGAGGATTCACTCTGTTCACATTTATATCCATCTTTTGTGTTTTTGGTTGCCCACTTCTTGCATCATTGTCCTCCTCCTTAAAAGCTTTATTTTGTTCCTGGGATATTCACCATAAGCCTGTTGTAACAAAGCTAAAGTTTCACTCTCGCCAATTTTCACACACAATTTTATGGTAATCCGCTGCTCCAGAGTCCCATCACTCATTTTCTGCCAACAGCGCAATTCACACACGTGTTATTTCTTCTACTACTCTGTAAAGACTGAGCCAACTGGTCTGTGACCCAGGCAAGTGTAAGGTGGAACATGCCAGCACACGCTCAAGTACGAATGGCTGTGTGACTCACCACCACAGTGCTACGATGTGGGCATTCCGGGAATTAAATTGTCACACCTCGTTTATGCATTCATGAATCACCCAGGGCCAATGTTTTGTGTACTTAAAAAGCGTATGACATTTCATGGTGCATTCTAGAATTCCAGAGGATCTGAAATGTGAAAGCTGTGCACAAAATAGGCAAACGGAGGGCAAATAAATCTCTCTGCAGTTGATCTTTTCCCCGTTACTGTCTTACCATGCCTTGTTCTGCACTGTGTGGAGGTGGTCATCTTGATAAAGGAGCTGAGCTTTGCTTTCTCTTGTCATAGCTGCCACCCGTATAACCGGTGATATGATAAGTGGTGGGGGAGCAGGAGAGGTAGTTGAAGCATACATTTCCAGAATAGATGAGAAGGGAAATCCTTGCACTGTAGGTCCCCAGGTACAGCTTCCTCTCCAGCAAGGAGAACAGTGAACAGCACAGTACTAACCTTCCCAAACTTGGTGAGATTATCAGGTTTAGAAGCAGGTAGATCCTTGCACTGTAGACCCCCCAAGGTACAATTTGCTGTCTAGCAAGGAGAACAGTGAGCAGCACAGTAGAGATTTGGAGTGATATTTGGTGAGATTACTAGAGATTACCAGGCTTGAAAGCCAGGAGATCCTTGCACTGCAGGTCCTCCAGTACAGCTTGCACTTCAGCAAGGAGAACAATGAGCAACACAGTAATAACGCCACTAAATCTCACTCAGACACAGCAGAGCCTTAGATGGTCTCCATCCTGCAGATAGTCTGCTATGAGGCTGCACTGCTGTATTCCAGGAGGTATTCAATACACAAGGTACATCTTTCAGGGTACAGCTGAGGCACAATTTGCCTTTCAAGGATTAGACTAGGGTTAAGACTCTATTCTTTGAAAATTGTAATATTTACTCCAGCCCTGCTCTGTTTTCTTTAGGATTATGATGTGGATGAGGATGCTATGATGCGAGAAGCACTGGTGCGATCATTAATGGATAACTGACAGCAGCACCGGCTGAAGCCCATACAGAATGAGCTGGCTCCACACAACATGCTGGGTTGTCTCTGCAGATAAATGACCTATATATAATGGCTGTGGCCTTGTGACAAAACTCTACTTTATTGCTGATAGAATCTGAAGTTGGAGTTCTATTCCAGAGTATCAGGTTAAACGTGTGTGTGTTGTGTGTGAACCCACCAAAAACCTGGACCTTGATAGCATCATTTTCCATAAGTAAACACGAAGTTAAAAAAACACTCATGGTAGATCTAAACTCAATGACTAAAATCTCATATAATCGTCAACATATTATAATTGTAATTTTCAGTACTTTTAAATATGCAGCTTTTATTTTTAAAAATGATCTGGTGAACCTACCATGAAGATCCTTTTTCAGGCATTTCCTGACAACTACCTCCTGTTGTGCTTCTGCATTGTCATCTTGGCACATGCACTCGTATTGGAGACTGAAAGCGGCTGCGCCACTGTCCACCACTGTCAAAAAAAAAAACCAGTCCAGAGCAATAATGTGCCACCAACGCTAGAGTAAGAGCAGGTAGATGGGAAGTGGCTGTAAGAGATCAGCATTGAGATGGGGAAAAAACTGTAATTTTATTAAGAAAAAAAATGCAAAAAAAAAAAATATATATATATATATACATACATACATACATACATACACACAATCGTTTGGAAAACTAAATCCAATTATGGTTTAGATCTACTTTAACCTGCGCTTAACTTAATGCACAAGTGCAATCAAAAACAGAAACATTCAGCATAACTAAACCTGGCCACAGATGGATCGAATCTCAACAGGTAAGCAGGGGCCGGCCGAGTTCAAACCATCTATGGGCAGGATGATTGCACCTAAATTGAGCCATCAATTGACTTGGGTACAACCAGCCTGTCGGAATTCTATATGCGTTTATTGCCAGCCTCTATAGCTGCTAGCAATAATCAGTGTTTTCCCAGCAGGGACGGCTCCCGACGCTTCCTCCTGTCTGCCAGTAGAACACAATAGATCCATGGGAGGGATTCCCCCATCCACATTTACTTTGTTGATGATGCAATTGAGCAATTTTGTTTTTTTTCCTTTCCTGCAACCTGTGGTTTTAAAAAAGAAAATTGATTTTTTTTTTTTTTTTTTTTTTTTTTTATGGCCTGTCTTACAGTCAGTAGGATGTGACTCTGAGCTGATTCCTCTGCTGTAGTAGATGTACTTCGGCTTTAAACTTGTCCAAACTAACTAAATTAAGAGTAACTCCATGGGGGGGTTATTTACTAAAACTGAAGTTTGCAAGACCTGGTGCAGCTCTGCATAGAAACAGCTTCTAGGTTTTATTGCCAAAAGCTGAGGTTAGAAGCTGATTGGCTGCTATGCACAGCTGTACCAGATTCTGAGTGCCCCAGTTTTGGTAAATCAACCCCAGTATAGCAAGCTGAATAAGGTTATGTGTGTTTTTTTGTTTGTAATGGAACCGGAACCCCAGACCGCACTTGGGTATTTCCGTTTTACTGCAGCTTCCCGGTTCGAACACCATCCATGGACCACACCCACTGATCATGCAGGAAATAAGACAGCACCCAACTCTTATTAAGACAGGAAGTCAACTCTTTTATTTTTACACAAAACACAATATATATATATATATATATATATATATATATATATATATATAGATATCTCTATCTATCTATAGATAGATAGATAGATATACACACAGGGCAGGGAAACACAACCAGGAACAGGAAACACATCATCAGCCCGCCCCATCAGTGGGGAGGGCTACAGGAAACACGACCCCCCCCCCCCACCCCACCCAACCAAGACACAGAACAATGGGATGCAGCACATGGCATAGGACAATGGACAGCCATGTGGCTGGGAACAAAGGACAACACACCAATACACAATAGACATCACACATCCACACCCTGTACCCCTTAACAGGCACAGGGTGGTTAAACATAAGAATTTGGGAAGATGATACAGGGGTCCCCCCACCCCCAAAAGTCACTCCCATCACATTGTTTTTTTTAGAAATGTCACAATATTCTGCTTCTGGCCTTTATAATCTTATGCAAACACTGTTTTCTCTGAAAAGTGATAATTGCATTGGAATAACCCCACCACCACTACCACACCCCACCACCACTACCACACCCCACCCCACCACTACCACGCCCCACCATAACCACCACACACACAAACCAGCACTCCTACCTTAGACTGTCCTCTCAGGCACTAAGCAATGGACTATGAGATGAAGGGGGACATAGATACATGTGTACAGAAGTACTGTAAATTTTTTGTGGTGCATTTTTGTATTCATCATTACTTTTATTTTAGATAGTTGATCACTAGTTTGCTTTAAATTATAATACCTTTTAAAGGACAGGAACTTCTGGGGCAGTGCTGCTAGTTGTTCCAAGCCTATAAGGCAGAGGGGGGCACACTACATAGCAGACAGTCAATTTTCTCTGCAGGTATACGCCATTTTGCAGTAATATTGGCCGTGATATACTACACCCAGGCAGGAGGGTTGCCTGAGTCAGACAGAGACATTCCAAACAACTAATAAAGATTTTTTAGTGCTGGATTTGGGACAGCGGACAGCTAGGTCAGGCCAGGATCGCTTCTTTGTAGAAATTATTATGCAGACAGGAGTTGTGGGTTCCTCTTAGTGTATATTGTTTAACTCTTTAATATTCAGTCTTTAGCGTAGATCTTTGTCCATGGGATCATCTACCGTCTACTAGCGCCATTTTGTGGCCTAGGTTAACCCGAAGCCTATACATTTCTGAAGATCTAGTGATGTCATAGCTCCAAACTTCATTCTTCCCAAGTACTGGCACAGTCCTAATCATGTCTTCCTTTCTTGTATGCCGCCAACAGGTGCTCTCTTTCTGTTTCTGATATCAGGGAATAGCTGAAGTTTCCATCTTGTTTTGTGTGTGTGTGGTTTTTATGAAGTTTATATGTTTTGGTTTTTAACTGTGCTCCAGGAGCAATGAGTGAGGATGAGTTGTATTTTTTTTTTTTAGCCCTTGTTTGTAAAATCCAAAGCCTCAGGAATAGTTGTTGTTTCTGTCTTGGATTGTTTTCTTGGTTATCATCCCCAGACCAACTTGAGGTTTTCATTAAAGTGTATGTCCAGCCAAAATGTTTTTTTTTTTTTTTCCATAGAATGAAGAAGAATTTGAACATGTTTTTGTTAATTGCTATCTGGGGCTCCATTGCTGACAACATTATACCACACAGGAAGTGAGGGGAACGATCCAACCACAACACAGACAGAAATAAAAAAAAATGCTTTTCTGTAATAGTGTAAAGGAAGGCTAGAACCCCTGTAGATTTTTCCTCGCTTCCTGTCTTGTAAAATTGTTTTCACCAGGACACAACCTGAGGGTAAATCTATCTAAGGCCCTTTTCACACTGGGCACAGGAGATCAGCGGACAGAGCAGAGCGGACTGATGACAGAGCAGACACAGACAGAGCCCATTTTACTGTATGGGCGAACGAGTGTAAACAGACCGACTGTGCATTTACACCCAAATGGAGATCAGACTTGTGTCCGTTTACACCCACTGCTCTATAGAGGTGAATGAAGGGTCCTATCTGGTCCGCCTGAAAAAGCTGACAGGCGGACCATATCAGACTTATCGTGGGATCCTTTACACTTGTGTTCTCCAATGAATAGTGGTCTGTTATTATTTGCTCTTCAAGGGTGATGAGGGGGCGATATGTTGCCTCCTCACTGCCTGTTTTAACCCCTAAAAACCTGTACCACCATACTTCAGCCATGAGGTTGCAGCTCAGCCCCAATAAGTTAAATGAGTTATAATTGGCAGGTAATACTGGCACACTATGATGCAAAGAATTGCTGCCATGGCATGTGTACACCCATATCAACTGCCTTTTGCAATTTTGGATGAAGTGATTGGGGGGGGGGGGGGGGGCAAGTGTAAACAAGGCCAGTCCAAGCCCTTTTTGGGAATGTGCCCAGTGAAAAAGTAGAGTCAACTTGGGAAACGTACCAGCTTGGCTTCTGCATGCTCAGCACAGGCTCTTATCCTTTTGGCCAAAATGTTGTACAGTAGAATGTTGTACTGTAGTTTTTCGGAAAGGGAAATTTATGTATCTTCAGTGGGCCCTTGGGGTTGATTTACTAAAACTGGAGTGCAAAATCTGGTGCAGCTCTGCATAAAAACCAATCTGCTTCGAAGTTTTTTTATTGTCAACGCTTAATTGATCAAGCTGAAATTAGAAGCTGATTGGTTACCATGCTAAGCTGCACCAGATTTTGCATTCTACAGTTTAAATAAACCCCCGTTTTTGTTTTTTTATTGTCATTTTTTTACATTTTGAATGGTCTGTTCACATCTGTGCACACTGATTTGGTCAGAACCTTTATTCAAACCTTCCATTTCAGTAGACACAACAGGAAGTGAGAATATTTTGCCTAAATGAGGGAAAATGTCACCAGAACAAGATAAAATGTAATATCGTTGCAAACAAAATTTTAAAAGAAAACCAGTGCCCCCATTGGAAAATGTTCCTTCTGTTACAGTTCTGGTGACAAACACTTGTTTTTTTTTTTTTTTTTTATTTACCCATCAGTTTAATCCCTGGAGACAATGGCAGCCAGGACAAATAAGAGAAGGTGAACACCTAACGGGTGTCAACTCTTCTCTCTTGCACCCAAAATTGATAAACAACAATTTCTTTAGATGCACTTTAAAGTAAAGATTTGCAATTCTTTCTTTCCTGTACCTGGCTGGAGACTAAGATGATAAAAATGGCTTCCCCTTACACCTCTGATCCAGACACCTCTGGAGTGTGGTACAAGGAGAACTTCAAGGAAAGTTTTAGGAATCAGGCTTGTGCAGACCAACAGGTAGACCAGAAGGCAGCTAGCCTGGATGCTGGAACTCAGAAGAAGCTGGAGGAAAGGACACCAGGCGGAGTAGCAGGCAGTCATAGTAAGAAGGCAAGCTA